TTTGAAAGATTTTAAACCTCTAGATTAGTAAATATTGTCAGAACCAGTATTTACAAGTGTCTTAATTCTTTCTGCAAAGTTAATTCTGCAAAGTGAATAATGTCTTTTTTGCCAGTCTGGCCAGATTCCTTTTTCAATTTTCAAACCCTGTACTTGCTGGAACTAGAGGATACCTATCTCTGAAGGTCTGAAGTCACGAGAAAAGCATTAAAATTTTTGCAACTTCCTATATAATTAAGTCAAAATACCAGGCTGGACAAATCAAATTAAGGTTGCTGGGAGAAGTATCAACAATCTCAGATATGCAGATGATATCACTCTGATGGCAGAAAGTGAAGAAAAATTAAAAAGATTCTTGATAAATGTGAAAGAGGAGAGTGTAAAAGCTGGCTTGCAGCTTAACATTTAAAAACAAAACAAAACAAAGCAAAACAAAAACTTAGATTGTGGCAATTGGTCCCATCACTTGCTGGCTAATAGAGGGAGAAGAAATGGAAGCAGTGTCAGCTTTTTTTATTCTTTTTGCTTTTAGGCAATTGGTGTTAAGTGACTTGCCCAGGGTCACACAGCTAGTAAGTGTTAAGTGTTTGGTCTGAGGTCAGATTTGAACTCAGGTCCTCCTGACTTCAGGGCCAGTGCTCTATCCACTGTGCCACCTAGCTGCCCCTAGATTTTTTTTATTCTTGGGCTCAAAGATCACTGTAGATGACAACTGCAGCCATGAAATGATACTCCTTGGAAGGAAAGCTATGGTAAATAGGGACAGCATGCTAAAAAGCAGAAACATTGCCTTGCCGACAAAGGTCTGTATAGTCAAAGCTCTGTGTGTGTGTGTGTGTGTGTGTGTGTGTGTGTGTGTGTTCTAGTAGCAATGTATGGCTGTGAGAATTAAACTATAAAGCTGAGTGACACAGAATCAACACTTGAATTGTGGTGCTGGAAAAGACATATGAGAGTCCCTTGGACAGCAAGGAGATCAAATCAATCAGTTGTTAAATTAATTCCAGCTATTCAGTGGAAGATCAGATACTGAAGTTGAAGCTTAATGAGAAGACAGGACTCATTGGAAAACATCCTGATGTTGGGAAAGGAGAAGGGTACGGCAGAGGATGAGATAGATATAGTGTCATGGAAACAATGAACATGAACTTGGACAGGCTTCGACCAATAAATAGTGCAGGATAGATGGGCTTGCCGTGCTATGGTCCATGGGGAAACAGCTAAACAATGAAGCAACAACAAAATACAATTATGTTGGATAAATATTTCTGCCTTTTGTGTGTGTGTGTGTGTGTGTGTGTGTGTGTGTGTGTGTGTGTTATGGGGAAAAACCACTGAACTTGGAGTCACAGGACCTGAATTTAAATCTTTGCTCTGTTAATTAACACCTGTGGTACCTAAGGCAAATCTTGAGCTTCTATTTCTTCATCTCTGAAGTGAGAGAAATGCATGAGATGACCTCTAAAGTCCATTTCAGCTCTATGTTTATGAGATCCCATGACCTGTGATGTCATTGGCCTAGGGGATTCCCAGTGAGCAAACTCTATCTACCAGCTTGTTGTTCAGTTGTTTTAGTGAAATCCGACTTTCTTTGGCTCCATTTGGGATTTTCTTGGCAAAAGATACTAGAATGGTTTTGATGAGGGTGAGGCCCAAGCCAAGATCTTCGCCCTTTGCCCCAAAGGGAATCTGACTCACAGGCCCCAGACCCTCATCTCCCTTGAAAGCCCTAGCTTACCTTTAGATCTTATTCAGATGCACCTTCAACCCTTGCCCTGAATAGAATCTGGCTCCTATTTGTCTACAGGCCCGGAAAACCCTTAAACCTTCAAATTTCCTAATCATCTCCCCTCATCTCCCTTTGAAAGCCTTAGGCTCCCTCTTGTCTATAGGCCCCAGAAAGGCCTTCCTTCCTCTCCTTTTGAAAGTCCTGGCCCCACCTTGATTTTATACAGATGGCTTTCAAACTTCTGCCTTCTTGTTCCTCCATTATCTATTCCCATTTTCTATTCAATCTCTCAGACCTCCCCAATTAGAATTGTTACCTAGACCTTTTACCCAACCCCCTTCTCTGGCCACCCAAAGTTACTTTAGTATTTAAGATCCACCTTGGCCCTCATTCAGAGGCTGAGAATCTCAGGCCCACAAGGCTGAGAAACTCTCGTGCCCACTAGTCTTTACGGGTGTCACCTGGTCAATGTGATTTATCGCTAATAAACTTTTCCTGTGACTGAAGAAGATTTGAGTGGAATTCTTTCAGGCAGGGCCCGGTACTGCGATCTTGGGGTCCCAGCACCCCAAAACCCCTAGACCTCTTCAGTTTGTCAGCTCTTCTTGACTCCAAAGCAAAAGCTCTATCTGCCTAGCTGTCCCTATCTACCAGTACCCAAGGGTAACTAATAAACAACTTAAAGTCTCAGGTGCCTGAGCCACTGAAAGGTTAAGTGATTTGCCATGGGCAACATAGAAAGTATGTGTCAGAGGTGGGTGTCAGCCAGTAAACATTTATTAAGCCTATGCACTAGGCACTGAGCTAAGTGCTGGGGATACAAAGAAAAGAAAAAAAAAGAGAGTTTGTGCTCTTAAGAAGTTCACAGTTTAATAGTCTTGAACTGGATCTTCCTAATTCTGAGACCAGCTGTTACCATAATGAATATGTTTATATTATGCTTTACATCAAAGAAGCAGTGGGGCTATTATCTTAAGTCAGGAAGACCTGGAATCAAGTCTTCTGTGGACTCTAACTGCTTGGCCCTGCACAAGGCACTTGACTACCTGTGCCTCTGGAAATTCCCCATATCAGATAGGTGGTGATTTTGAGTAGACACATTCTCATATTGAGATTCCTTTCCCCTTTCTCTTACCATCTTTTCCACTCTTCAAATATTTACCTCAAATCATTGTGTTTTGTTGCTGTTGCCCTGAGCCATTATTTCTATTTCATTTATGTTCATTTATGTTTTGCAGATTAAATTCCAATATTCTTGTCTTGCTCTACCTTTGTGTCTTTTTGTTTTTTCTGCCCCATTCACTATATTCACTATAATGGGGACTAGAACAAAGTTGGCAGAGGAGTCACTTAAAGGGCCTGGACTTGCTCTTTTTTTCCCCTTAGGCTTTGTTTTGCAAAAGGATAGGTACAATAGTCTTATGAAAACTCATTCAGAAATCCCATTCCCTCAGGCACTTAACTTCTATTGTAATTTCCAGTGAGTTGTAAAAGCCTTGGCTTTGCTATTGTTTCTTTTGCCAGGAAAAGCTCTGAGAGTGGGGGCTATGGGTCTGGAAGTAGAGACTTCTCCAGACCCCTGCTAAGCCATTTTCTGAGAAAACTAATTCTCTAAGAAACCTCTCTTCCCTGGGGTACATTTATTTGCAAACTTGCTAACAACTATTTGGTTTCCTGGCTGATTCCCCTCTAGAGAAAAGGGATAAATTCCATTCACAAAGCAACCGTTTTTGGAGTAAGAAAGAGAGGAACAAGGAAGACGTTTTTACTTTTGTCCCAAGGTCACTTACAAGTAATCAGCTTTGTGCCATTGTGCCTCCATTTATCAAAAATAAATAGTTAAGATGAAATGGAATTGAAATTTAATTTTTGTTTTTATTCTCAAAGGGAAGATGATGTAGCAACATCATGGTACAATTTTAAAACAGAAATTATTCCCAAGAGGGAAAATGAGTTCAGCAATTGTGCAGTGGAAAGGATACTGGATTTGGAGCCAGGAGACCTGGGTTCAGCTCACATCTTTGTCACTTATTTCCTCTGTGACCTTATAGAAGTCAGTCAAGCATTTATTAAACTCTTACTATGTTTGAGGCACTGTGTTGAGTTGGGGACACCAAGAAAGGCAAATAAAATAGTCCCTGTACTCAAAGAACTCACATTTTAATGGAGATATAACACTGAAATAATAATGCACATACAAGATTAACACAGATCAGATGAAAGACTCTAGTGGCTGGGGGACCAAGAAGGTGGGATGGGAAAATCAGGGAAGCAAGGAGGCAGACGTGAGGGGCTAAGACTGTTGGAAATAGCGTCCTTGAACCCCCTCTGCAGGGTTGGAAGTTAGCTAGGGAAAGCTGCCTGCGGCCCATTGCTTTCCCAGTTGCAATGCTGGGTGGAGTCTCTTTCTTAATAACAAAACTAAATTCAGAGTGAAAGAAGAATCAGGTGTGCCCCCTGGTGGTAGAGGCACACTGTACAGAAGTGAAAGACAGCTTTTATACTGTTAGTATGATCCTGCTCCTCCTACCAGGGCTAGGATTGGTCCAGGTCACCTGAGTTACACTCTTCTTTTAGCTTTCTTCAGCTCCTTTTATACAGGTGGTGCTGGGTATTTATCTGCCTGGGGCCCCTTGCAGTGCCGCTAATGCACTGGGAGATTCCTTTGTAGTAGAGTGCTGAGGCAGGTGGTGGTTTTCTGAGCTATCCTCCACCGGTTACCCCACCCTCACTGAGGCACTTGGAAGTCCAGGTGTTGGTGTTTGCCTGCTTTACCACCTGGGCTTCAGGATCTCTTCCTGGTTAACAGTTGGAGGCTGTAGGGTTCTGAAAGCTCACCTAGTGTTGCGCTGGAACCAGCAAGGCAGGGATTTTAGGAAGTTAGGTTGCTTTCTTCAGCTCGTTTCAGATGAATGCCGTAGGGTACTTATCTGTCTGAGGCCCCTTGTAGTTCTGCCTTCTTATTTTTGCTGAGGCACTGGGAGACCCATTTGCTGGGCTGCTGCACTGCTGTTCCCCATATTTCCACTAGTTCATCTGTTCCAGGGTTTTTTTCTGGGGTGATATTTTCTGCGTTTTCAGAGGTTGGTAGGGGAGAGTGAGAGCAACTACCTTTTAAGTCTGTCATCTTGGCTCCCGGAAGCGAAAGTCTCCAGGGCTCTTTCTTAAGGAACTAGTTCTTTTGCAGAATGTTTGGGGCACTTTCTGATTGGTTGAGGGACTATCTACAAGGTCTTGGAAGTCCTCCTCAGAATTCCCTTGTTCTGTTGTGGAAGCCTAACTTCTAATCCTTTCTCACAGCATGTATGGGATATAGCTGGTAAGGAGAAGGGAGATGGTGTGTCCTGTGTGAGGAATTGCAATTAAGTCTGTAAATGGATTATAGACTGTATGGAAGAGAGAAAGGTATAAAAAGCCTGGATAGGTAAGAAGAGGCCAGGTTATGATGAGCTTTAAATATCAAACTAAGATCCTATTCTTGTCATGGAGGTAATAGGAAGCCACTGAAACTCATTAAGAAGGTGGGGTTGACAGTGGAATGGTGTGGTGGTGGTGGTGGTGGTGGTGGTGGTGGTGGTGTTATGGTCAGACCTGCTCTTTAGAAAAATTACCATGGAAGCTGAGTGAGAGATAGATTGGAGTAGGTAAACATTTGAGGCAGGGAGACCAGTTATAAGGCTATTACTAGACTATTTGGATGGCCTAAACTATGGTTTTTGCTTTGGAAATGGACAAAAGATTAAGATATATTGTAAATGTGGAAACTATAATGTTTGGTGTCAAATTGAGTATGTAGAGTGAGCAAGAATTATTAGTTGAGGCTGACACAAAGATTGAAAGCCTGGGTGATGAGGTGGATAGTGCTGCCCTCAGCAATGAAGAGGAAGCCCTGAGGGTTTTAGGGGGAAAGATAAAGAGTTCCCTTTTAGAATTATTGAGTTTGAAATGTGAAAGTTGTAGTAGTTCAAAGGAGACTATATATGTAGATCTGGGGATCATCTGCATAGAGATTATAGTTGAACCCATGGGAGCTGGTGATTATATATACATATATGAATGTGTATATATACATGCATGTACATATGTATTTGTATATATATATATATGCATATATATACACATGCATGCATACATACATATATGTGTGTATATTCACACACAGAGTATAGTGCAGGGATTTTTAACCCTTTTCATGTATAATGGACCCCTTTGGCAGTCTGATAAAGCTTATAGACTTTCAATAAATGCATAAAATACACATGATTCTAAAGGAAACCAATTATATTAAATACAGTTATCAATATAGATATACACATACATATATGTATAAAATTTCATGGATTCTGGTTAAAAATACTTGATATAGAATAAAATAAAAAAAGAAAAGGGCTCAAGACAGAGCCTTGGGAGACCCAATGATTAGGGGATATGATAGAGATGAAGAACCAGTAAAGAAGACTGAGAAGGAAAAGTCAAAGAGCAGAACCAAGAGAGAACAATGTCACAAAAACTTAGAGAGGAGAAGCCATCAATAAGGTTGAAAGGATACAGAGAGGTTAAAAAAAAAGTAGAAGAGTGAGAAAAGGTCATTAGATTTGGCAATTAAGAGGTCATTGGTAACAAGTTGCTTAGCCTCTTTGGTCTCAGTTTTCTCTTCTGTAAGATAAGAGGATTGGACTAGCTGACCCAGAAGTGAATCATGTAGTAAATGCCTTCAGACTCTAATTCTATGAAAGACATCTATTCTAATCTTAAATGTATGGGACTGTAAATATATCCTAAATAAAAAGCCATTGCTTATTTTATGTAAAGATATGATATTGGAAATGACAACCATAATGCCAATGGTCCATGACCAGATGGCAGATGAGATATAGAAATTTCTTTCCTCATTGGCCTTATGTACAAAGCTCTATCTTCACCACCCTTTTTCACATTAAAAATACTGATAATTTTCTCTGCCACACTAAGCAATTTATTAAGCAGCATATTTGATGACAGTAATTAAATTGCCATCTTTCCTTGGATGCTTATATCCCTTGTGGATATAGCATAAACTTCAAACAAAACTACTAAATGAAAAGACTTTGAAAAAGCCAATTTTACAAGTTTTCCCTGAAACTCATTTTTTCTCTCCCCAGTTGTCAAAATGTTACAATGACATGCTTTTTGAGGCCTCTAATTCCATGTGGGAAATAGGCAAATATTAAAAGGGGAGGAGAAAATATCTTCAATCTTTTGAATTGAAATTTTCCTTTAGAAAAATTCTTAGTGACAACAGTAATCATGAGGAATTTAAACTGGTAAAAATGAAGCTGTCCCTAAGGCTCATAGTACCTATGTTATGGAACATGAGCTAGAGTAGCAATCTAACAGTCTAGTTGTATCTAACAAATGCAGAAACTTCCAGGAGAAACAAAGTGAAATTTTCTCTAGGATATCCATATATAACTCATCTATGGTGTTGCCAAGTTTTTACTCTTCATCTAAGTAGGTAGTGGAGTATAATATAGATGCAAACTTTCCTTGCATGTCCAAGTATCCAAGGCTTTTTTTTTTCCTTGTGATATTTTCTCTCATCCCTTATAGGAGGACCTTTTTGGAACGGGAATTGAGGGTGGTGGAAATTTTGGGCATTTAGGATTGTAGATCTAGAGCATATACATAATTTAATCCAAACTTTTCATTTTATTGATGAAGAAATTGAGGTTCAGAGAGATTAAGTGATTTATCCAAGGTCACATGGGTAACACATGGCAAAGCTGAAATTTAAACAAGCAGGTCTGACCACACCAGGTTCAACACACTTTCAATTGATTTGATTTCAGTTTCAAATAGTTCAGATTAGCTTCCCTAATTCCCCAAACTCCAAGCCTAACACAGGTGCCACAAGCTATTGGTAGCAAGCAATCATAAGGGGTCGCCAGTGTAGCGGATGGGAACTCCCACAGATCCCAGTCTGTCAGCAAACAGGTGGCAGTGTGCCACTGAGTCAGAAAATTCTCCATACTCTAGCATCACTTCTTGTGTTAACACTCTTAGCTTTTACATGGCATCTTGGAATTAAGAAGACCTGAATTCCAGTCTAGAATTAGATACTTACTAGCTGTGTGACTCTGGTCTAGTCACTTAACCCCTCTCTGACTCAGTTTTCTCAACTGTAAAATAGAAATAATAATAGCACCTACATCCCAGGGTTGTTGTGAGGAGCAAATGAGATAACATTTGTAAAGCATGTAGCACAAGGCCTAACACACAGTAGGTGTTTAATAAATATTTATTTCTTTCCTTCATTTAAGTAATAGTAACTTTTTAAGATCTCCAAACCAAGATTCAAAACAATCTATATGACCATGGTTATTTGTTAAATAGGCTCCCCAGTGCCAATGTGGTACAATGGAAAGAATGCTGAAGTAGTCACTAGATGTTCACTTAAATCTGCCTCTGATATTGCTACCTCAAACCAGTCATTTAACTTCTCTTGGTTTGTTTATATTTTCAAAAATATTTATGGCAACTCTTTTTATAGTGGCAAAATGGGAGCCCATCAATTGGGGAATGGTTGGACAATTTATACTATATAAATGTAGAATAATGTTTTATACTATGAGGAATGATGAGATGGTTCCAGAGAGATATGGAAGACTTGTATGAACTGATATGGAGGGAAGTGAGCTGAATCAGGAGAAGAATTTACATTATGACATCAGTTGTATAGAAATGACAAATTCTGAAAAACTTAAGAACTCTGATTAACATACCAATCAACCATGATTCCAATGACTGATGAAGAATGTCCATCTTATGACAAAGAAATGATGAATTAATATGCAGTATAACAAACTATATTTTGGGCATGGTCAATATGTGAATTCATTTTGCTTGACTATGCATATTTATTACAAGAGTTTTGTTTTTCTTCTCCACCCTCCCTTTGTAAGAGTAGATGACAAAGGGAGAAAATAAATAAATGTGTTTTTTTTTTAAATTGGGGGGAAAAAAACAACAAAAAAGAATGAATTGGCTTAGTCCACCCTGGAATCTTTAATCATCTGCTAGTGTTTTAGGACTAATGTTAGTCATCATTCTCATGTAGATCTCACAAAGGAACATTTTGTGGGTGTTTGGGGGAGGAGGGAAAGGAGGAAAAAGGGGTGGAGAATTCCAGGGCAAGAAAATCAAGGGATAGAGAATTCTAACTAAAGCAAGCTATTTTCTACTCAGTCTGGGTTACATAAAAAAATTTTCAAACATGCTTCTAATTAACTTATATTGTATTTTTTCTGCTTTGATAAGTTCTGCTTACTTGTAAATAAATATCATTCCTTAATCTCTAGTATGGTTTACATGGGTTAATGGAAAGAGAAAGTAGGCATTGGAATCAATATCTGATTTTGATTCTATAATCATTTTAGAACGATGGAAAAAAGAGGAGAGTTAATTGGGATCAGGTGTGGCATATCTCTGAAAGCCGGGAGCCAAGTTAGCTTGGGGACTGAGAATGTCAGAATACTCAGTATCTTGAGCCAGAGGTTCAGTGATCAGTAATATTCAGAAATTAGTAAAGGAAAAACCCTGAGAATGTCTTGGACTGGTTCTGAGAAGGAGCAGGTGTTGTGGCAAGTTGATGAGATTAGCAAGGCCTATAGCTCAGGGTCAGATATTTGCTAAGCCTTGATATTTCTCTATTTTAAAATATTGGAAAATACAAAATATTTAATCTCAGAAACAGTCTTAAGTGAAGAAAACTCTACATTTCCTCTACATATGTGTATGTATGTATATGACAGCTTTTTATAAACATAGACTAATAAAACAACAAAGAACATTTTCCAGGGAGAAGGTCAAATTTTAAAAATCTTAGTTTTTATAATATAAATATTGTAAAATCCTTTCTATTAGTATATCATCTTTTTTTCTAAAAAAATTCATCAAAATAGTTGTTTCCTTTAAAATATGACATATACCGTTTTCAGTTGAATGGACCTCTAAACACAATAAGCTAAACAAACTTTAAAAATTGTTAAATTTCTGTATTATATGTTAAAGTAACAGATTCTATTGATTACAACATTACTTATTGCAGGAGTACTATTGATAGCAAAATTTGTTTTTAGCTAAGGTTGGGGAAAATTTTATTCTTCAATGTAAGAAAAAATGTAGTGTTAGAAATAATTTTTAAAATGCTGATAAAATAATTTTAAATTCTCATTTGTATGAAACTGTTTATTAATATCAGGTGCAATGTATTTGCATATGAAAGAGTAAACTGGTAATAACATTTGCATTTACTTCAATTTTCCCCAGACTATAATAATGAGCAGAGTTTACAAGGAATTAATATAGGAATTGTTCATTAAAAATAGAAAGTTCTTGAATTACACTTGTATTAGCCTAATGTGAGCTAAATTAATAGTCAAGATCAAAGAAATATTGGTTGATATGGAAGTTGGGATCTAGTTATTGCATCTCTTGGGAAAAGAGTTAAAATCTAGTATTCAACTTATATTTTGATTTCACACATTTTTCTATTTAAAAATTTTGCCTCATTTGGATGGGTTGTATTGTCCCATCATACTAGTGTAATGGTGATAAGGCCTAAATCTTATGGTATGTACAATATGCCCTGCTTGGTACCAATATTTGTGAAAGCTTAATTATTTCTGAACATGCATAATTGGGAGGGGAGGGGAGTAGGCAGCATGTCCTGACTTCAAAGCATGTAAAAGTATCTTGCATTTTGTGTTGTTTTATTTACTAGGTAATAATGAAAATACTTTTATTTGGTTGTTGTGTGACAACTGAGTATACACATAAAAGTTTCAAGTAGGAAATCTCTTGCTTCTTTTGTAACAAATATGAGGAGGAAGAACTATGAAGAACTGTTGTGGTCCTTCAGGTTGGTGAGTAGCACTGAGCCCTCTCTCCCATCTGACCACCATGTCTCTGTTCCTGTTGTGTTTCTTCTTTCTTGATATTAGGTGAATGAGAATCCAGAAATAGGAGGATCCAGGTAGCTGATAAGACTAGGAGGTTAATCAAAGCCGTCTAAGGTCCTACCCTTAATTGAACTCTTGGGGTCAGTGGCACTGGTAGTTGGATACTGTGAAGAAACTGTACAGAGGAACTATCTGTTTCATTCAACCCAGCTGAAAAAGGGAATTACTTCTCCGTGGGCTATGTGAGACCCAGAAGCAAACTTAGGGCTTTGAGAAGGAGAAAAGATCCCCCGGGGCCAGCAAATAACCACCATCCCCAACCTTGGGGGTGGGGTGGGGTTACTGTTTAATAGCAACAACATCAGGTTTGAGTGTTTGAATTCACTGTCTCTAGGGATTGGGTGGGTATGTGAAGAAGAAAGTACATTGAGGTTGGTGAGGGCAGGAGGGAGGGCTGTATTTTTATCCTTGCTGGTAATTATCTCTTTGAAAAAACTAAGATATGTTAATTGGTTAATTGACATTGGGGGTAGATCAACTAATTAATGGATATTGAAGAACACACCAGAGGGGGGCTCATGACCTACAATTCTAGCAAATACCCACAAACTCATGGTAGTACTGCTAGACTACTTTGATCAAAGTAGTCATTATACTCTGGGGACCCAACCAGCCAGTTCAAATGCAGACTGGAAAAATGAGCCCAGAGAGGGCACTACATTTGAAATATATTCTTTGATCTTTTTAATATTATATCAAAGAAGATGAGCAGTATGGTATAATGGGCAGTATGGTATATTCAAAGTAGAATATCTAGGTTCAAATCCTTGCTCTGGCACTCACTAGCTATCTGACCATAGACAAGTGACTTCACTTGGAACCCTGGAAACTGGGCTCCAGATTTTTCTTCAGTAAAAGGAGGTAGTTGAATTAACTGATTACCAAATTCTAATTATTTAATTGATTGATTGATTAATAGTTTCCTATTAATAGAGGAGGAAAAGAGGCATGCAGGGTGCTAAGTATAACTAAATGGATATATTACCCAACATTTTACTTGACAAAAAGTCTCTGGATACTAAAGCAAAAAGCATATTTTAGGAATCAGCTTGATTGTTGAAATATTTAAATTTAAATTAAGTAAGCAGTTGGGACCCTCTTTTGTGAGGTACAGAGATGAACTTCACAATCATGGAATAGGTGACATCAGTTCTTAGAAATAATCTGTAATCACATAACTAAAATGATATCTATACATGCTAGGGTTGCTATTCTTATCTTGGGAGTTAGAGCTATCATTTAACAATTCTTCAAAAGAACCCATAATATATTTTTGAGATCAAGCTTTTATCTGAGTAGACTTGAATATAGAGATCTCTTATCTATGTGAGTATTATCTATATCAGCAGCTTTTAACTTGGTGTCCATTAATAATTCTTTTTAGAAGTGCATCCTAATATAATTGGATTTCTTTGTATCCTACGCATTTTATTTTATTCATTTAAAATTATTATTCTCAGAAAGGTTTTACCAGCCTGCCAAAGGGGTCCATGACACAGAAATGGTTAAGAATCCCAGCTCTATATAAAATAAATAGCAGCAATCTATACCTTCCTGCCCCATGTGAGTGTCAACCATGTGGTCTACAGGAAAGAGCACTGACACTGGAATCAGTAGCCTATTATTAATCCTACCTTCCTTTGATGTTTACTACCTATACAACCTTGGGCAAGTCACATCCTTACTGAATCTTAGTTTCTTCATTTGTAAAGTGAGGAGATTCCATAAACCTTACAAGCTTGAAAGCATATTTATTTCCCTGCTTCACAAAATAAATGATTTAGAGTCTTGCACTGAAACTTTTCAAAAATGTTCATACTTAGAATAAAAGCTATTCAACAGTATAATTAGAAAATGAGATTTTTTAAAATGTTTTAATGCAATTGGATTCTCCTTTTGTTGAAGAGGGCAAAATGTTAAGACAAATTATAAGGTAAAATACAAATAATTATACTTTACTAAAACAAAAGAATGCCTAAAATACTATTTCCCAAGGTGCTTGTTGGGTGATGAAGTTGAGGATCTGGCTTGGGAAAGGAGTCTTGGCTCTGAATTTGCCAACAGCAGATAATACAAGTGTATATTCAAAAGGGAAAATTCTGAAGGAGAGAATGGTGACAGAAGCAACTTGGGAGATAGGCCAGTTGGAGAAATAGCAGGGGTAGAACTCAGACTGACCTAATGATGTAGAAAGTTTAGGCAGCTGAAACAACTTGAAATAAGAGATTTATAGAAAGAGACTTAGCTAAGCTAGCTGGTAGGGAGAAGGGAAAGTACCAGCAGAAAGTTGCACTTAAAATTCAACAAAATAGCTGCAGGGAGATAAAATATGGCTCATCATTTATCTAATCAAGGAGTTACATGGAGAGTACAGATGCTATTATTCATTTTGTTATCCAGTTATAATTTATATGCTATTTATGATGTTTATGGTGATATAACAGGGAGAAATGGAAATCATTTTAGGATTCAGCTTGCCTTTTGGAAAACCAATGAATAAGGAAGGGCTCATTGAATTAAATTCAACAAATACTTATTAAGCACCTACCATTGTGTGAGATACTATACTAGGTTCTGGGGATAGAAAGACAGAAAAATAACAATTCCTACCCTCAAGTAGTTCATGTTCTACTAGAATACTCCTCTGAAGAGGATTTAGTAAGATGATACACTCCCACTTCTTGGGTTTAATTATACTTAGAAGAAATGAATGGATTGTGGACTCAGCCCTGCTTAGAAGATTACCATGTAATGATCTAATAAATGCCTCACTGCCTATATACTACATGTCTCAAGGTACTCTCATGTGTCAACCAACAGCTCAAGTGAAGACCTGCTAAAAGAGGAAATATTCATTCATGCCAAGTGCTTGATGTTGTTACTTGTCCTTCATTTTTGAAGAGGATGAATGACATCATGGGGTAATTCAAGCCTGGATTAGATTTAAGTGAGGCAGAGTTGCACAGAGTTGTCAGCCTCACTTTCTCTTCCAGAGTCATGGAAATCCAGTGACAAGACAAAAGTTCTGCCCAGGATACAGTGGATGACCTTAGTGTCTTTGATGTCTGCTCTAAGCTCTCCATGGTGCTTTCATGGCTATTAGAACAAAATGTTCTCATTTGCCCATTCTGCAGTGGAAAGTTTTCACACACTTGGGGTAGCCATCCCCCCAACTCACTGATGAGTTTGAGGCCTGTCAGTTACCCTCAACCTAGTTTAGCCTATCTGCTGAGATGGTTTGACTCCAAGAAGCTGTAGCAGGGTCTACCATAGAGCCTTCTCATGCCAGGTATGTAACTACTATCTCAGGGTCAGAAGCTCCCTTATCTGTAGTGAATTATATAAATCTTGGTAAACAGATTCTCTTAGAAAACCCTTAGAGTAAGGAATAATTGATAGCAGTTAGTCTCTTACTCATCAAAGGACTTTATCTGAAAGTCAGTGTGGTGTACCAAACATAATGCCAAACATGAAGCCAAGAGGGCCTTGGTTAAATTCCACCTCAGACATTATAACGTGTGTCACCATGAGTAAGCCACTTAACCTCCACTTGCTTCAATGTCTTAACCTGTAAAATAAGGGGGTTTGGGCTTAGTGACTCCTAAGGTCCCTTCCAACTCTTAATACACAATCCTATGATCTAATGTGTCTAGCAGCAAATGGGCTTTTCTTGGGAAACAGCCCTTCTTATAGAAACTGGAAGAAAGAATTGAAACCTCTGGACTTGGTCCTTTACCCTTCTCAATCTGACATATTGACTAGGAGCTGGGGGAGGGGGCATGGAACCATATTATCTCATTACTATCCTCACACGTACGTCAGTCCAACTCTTCTAAAACATAACACTACGTTCCATTGTGTATGATTTGACACATTTCTTCTATTTAAGCTGATCATTTCAAAATATGTAAGGTTAAGTTGAAATCTGAAGTGCCTAATAAAGTATATGTAAAATGTTAAGAAGAAGAATAAGTGTTATAGACAAAGGAATTCTTTTTGCAAGGTATCATAGTCATTCTTCAAGAAAATAAAAATAAATAAAACTAGTACTTCAACTAAAAGCAACAGGTAACAATTGTGGGCAGCTAGGTGGTATAATGGAGAGAGTACTAGGCCTAGGAAGACTCATCTTTATGAGTTCAAATCTGGTCTCAGAGACTTATCACCCTGTGTGACCCTGGGCAAGTCACTTAACCCTACTTGCCTTTGTTTCTTCATCTGCAAAACTGCTCCAGAGAAGGAAATGGCAAACTTCTCCAGCATTTTTGCTGGAGAAAACTGCAAATGGGATCACAAAAGAGTCAGACGTGACTGAAAACAATTGAACAGCCACAACAAAAATTGTTTCATAGATTGGAATAATGTCTACTTACTTGTTAGCACACACTTAAGTAATTAATTGAAAACATATTCATTCATGTATACCAACTTTCACTTAGCCCTCGCCTGGTAGTAAAATAAGCAATCCTTCAAGCAATCCTAGCTTTAGAGTGGTCTCAAATCTCTATTATAAAGTAGGTTTAATATGCCTTTGGCACATACCTACAGTCCTTAGATATCCTCTTTCCTAAGCATTTGGTTCTATCCTCATGTTGTCCTTTGTAGCTTAAAGTTGGTTCCTTTCTTCTAACCCTAACACATTAGTCAACATTTTTGCATAGACACTAAGAAGAGTGGATAAAGTAGGTGTGATGAATGAAAAACCCTAAGAGACAGTTTCAATTTATTAATTTATTAATCAATTTATTAATTAGGCCAGTCAGCAATCAATAAATTTATGGTTAGTGGTTTCTCTCAGTAACCAAAGACAAAACCAAGGAGAACTTGAAAGCTTTAGCTACTTTTGTAAAAGGCAATGCTCCTGACAAATGTAAATCAAGCCTGATTTGTGGACATTTAATGAG